GGGGGAGGGCACCAGCCTCCGCTGGAAGGCTTCTAGAGGAAGTGTGATGTAGGAGTGCCTTCAGGTTGGGAAGAAAACGTGCCCACTGCCAGCCAGATCAACACCTTGAATGAGCTCTGAACATCCAGTCCTGGTCTCAGTTTAACTGAGGAAAGAAGACAAACTGGTAGAAAGGCGCCGGGAGTCCGTGGACAGTGGCTCCAGTGCGTAAGCTGCCTGTCCGGAGGAGGCATGAAGCCTTCCAGCCAGGGCTTGGCTTCAGAGATGAGGCTGCAGTCGGGCTCTCAGGTCCAGGTTCCCCACTCAGGCTGGCTGACCTCTCTTGGCAGCACTCTAGTGGAGAAGGTTTTTAGGCGTGGTGTGCTGGGATGTGAATAGCGGGAGGGACACCCCAGGAGTGATGGTCAGGCTATGGGATGGTGGAGAACCTGGCTAGGTGTGGGGGCGTAGGACGTGGCACACCTTCTGGACCAGAAGCAGGCCTGTTGCTAGGCCAGAGCAGCCCGCTGAGTTGGCCACCTTCTGCTGGGCAGTAGTTTGTTACAGGATGCTGTGATCTGAGCAGTTGAGTGTGTGCAGTGCTCCTGGGCTTAAAGGGGTCCTGGGGGCTAATTTAGGTGGGAAAGAAGCCCGGAGGAGGTTGGAAGAGCCTTGGTGGGGAGAGACACAGAGAGCAAGTTGGGGCCGTAGCCGATGATGGCGTGTAGACGGTAGAGCTGTTCCCAGATGAGATTCTGAGATTTAACAGTGGTGTGTGGTCTTTAGACTCCATTCGTTTGCTCTGTCCCACCGTGGTGCAGATTAAAATGATCGTAGGTAGCTCGGTTTCCCAGAAGCCGCTCATAGGCTGAATTTAATCAGTTTGCCATGTCACTAAGCCAGAGTGTGTTTTAAATTGCATGTAGCCTGATTTCTCCTCCTTTGAAGGAAGTCTGTTCTTATCGATCTGGCGTTTTGTGACCCTGAAGGTGCTTTAACAGGATCCCCCTTTGGTGCCTGTAATGCAGCAGACGCGTGTCCAGAGTGTGGTGTGGGTGTGGGTGACGGTCCAGGTCGTCTCCTGGTAACAGGCGGCTTTTCATGTTCTGTCAGCGGATGTGTTCTGAAAGGAGGATGGTTCACGTAAGATGGTTTTATCATCAGTGTCTCTGGTATTTAAATGAAATAAATTAAGTTAATGGGAAGCTCTTTTATAGCCTGTCATGGAAAAAAGTACATAATTTGTGCCACAATTTGCAGCGAACTAGCGATTACCAACATTTATTCCATCATGTTCTCATAAAGTTTCAGCTGGAACTGGATTTGACATGAGACTGTAACAGTTGAGAAACAGCAACTTGGTAGGGGCTCTGTGAAGCAGGAGGTGGGTCCTGAGGTATGAGGGTCTGTGAAGTCACACAGCAGAGGGCCTTCAGGGGAAGGGCAGACAGTGGAGGACAGCCTTATTGATAGTGTTCATGAGTCTCTTTGGCGTTCTGACAGACTAATTTTGCACATCTGCTTGTTTCTTGATCTGTTAGGGTGTGTTTCGGTGAACGTCTTCATCACAAAGCCCTTTTAGATAACCCTGTATTCTGTAACACTGCCAGCAGGGCTTGGCAGGTGGCACTGTTTTTTGTTTCATTTTTTGCAGTGCTGGGAATTACATGTACTGGGCAATCATTCTTAGCCGTTGAGCACCCCCCCCCCAAAAGTATAGCTCCCATTCTGTCTCTTTCCCCAGATGACGGTTCTTCTTCTCTTCTTAATGACTCCTTCCTTACTGGGCTTTGGTGGGAGTTGAGGGTCAGCACCAGCAACTCTGAATGGGGTGCTGGCCCTTCAGGCTTCACAAAGGTCATTCTGACCACCTAGCTGTGAACAACAGCTTGCTGAGTGCCAAGTGCCATCCAGTGAGGAAGGTGCGTGTCTGCCGGGTACCTGCTGTGACTGTGGCTTTGGGCACACATTGCGCTGGCCAGGCTGCATCGAAGCCCTGTCTAGCATGGCTTGCTCCTCATGGAAGTAAGGACCTGGGAGACGCAAACTTCCTTCAAGGATCTGGTCTGATGTGGGTCTGAAGCCACGTCTGTGAAGCTTTTGAACTTTGATAAAAATGCCTTCATCAGTCCCTCTGCCATTTAAATGGATTTTATAATCTCACATGTGGGTCACTACAAAATTCTGGTAAGCTGGACTACACAGACCTTTCAGATACCTTTCAGATTCTCGGTCTTCCTGCCCCACTCATTTCGTGGGAAGATTTGCTAAATATCCGGGGACTGTGAAGCTCTTGGTGGCAGATAACAAGTTTCTTATGATTTTAATCCTGTGGCGGTTTTAAGATAGAGTCTCACTCTGTAGCCCAGGCGGCCTAGCACTTGTGGTAGTCTACCCACCTGCCTTGTCTTTGCTTATGAGTGTGAGCCGTCGTGCTAGGCTATGGTTTTTGTTTGAAAGCTAGGCGTTCCTCGCTGGCAACAGGTACGTAAGTTTTCCATAAGTGACATGGTCATTTCATTCGTTTTCAAGAGAATTGTCTGCCACATACCAGGGTCTGAGTAACTGGTAGTTTGTCCATCGAGTGTTCCTTCAAGTAAGGGGTGCTCTGAGAAAGTGCTGGGGTCTTGGAGAGGTGCCATCCATTTCATCATGAACAGATTAAAAATAAATGCATCCAGGTCGACATTTAGTGAAATGAATGCTTTGTATTGCTTCATCAAAGGCATTCTTAAGCACAGCTGGCCTTTTTCTAAATGCAGGGTGTGTGGTGTGTGACACAGTAGTGTGGTGTGGCCTTTGCTTCCACACAGGGCCTCGGTCTGTGTTTAGGCACCACCATTGTACAAGTGTCAGCATGGCAGAAGAGGTTTATGATGTCTTGGTGTTCCGACAGATGTAGCATTGAATTCATGTCTCACCCGACTTGGGGGGAGGTGGCCCTTGGGGTCACAGGTTGACCTGGGGGACCCGTGGTGTGGGAATGTGACCTGGAGTCAGTGCCAGGCTCTGTGGTTTGATGTGCTGCTCACCTACAGCCTTTGGTCTTCTATCTACGCTGAAGCCCTGTGGGTCAGAGAGGCAGGACAGACTCCACTGGAGAGCAGTTCTTGGTCTTTGATGCCAGTGTTGAAAGCAGGAACTGTCAAGCCGACCTTTGGGATTGAGCTCTTGCATGGTGTCAGGCGAACTCGCTCTTTGGTTCGGGTTTTGTTTTTTTTTTTTTTTAATCTGAAAAGTCGACATCAAGATAATAGTCCTTCCCCACAGCATCACCTGCCTTATATGGATAGAGTGGAAAGAGGTCTCCAGAGCAGAGCCTGTCTCTGCACCTGGAGACACTCCACACTGACTCCAGTAGGCTTTCCGTGAGTGTGAACTTGGGTCTCAGGGAAGGTTGCTGGACGTGTGACTTTCTAAAGCCTCAGAGCAAACAGCCTCTTTCAGAGCAGCTGTCATGTCACAGGGTTGGGCCTGGTCAGCCCTGGGAACTAGGAAGCAGATGAGCACTGCCTCCCTCAGTACCATGAGATGCCTTGTCATGGGGTCCTCCGGTGAGCTTCCATCAGGCTCCGGGGAGGGGTGGTGTTTTTTCCTGCTGTAGGAAATCTAGCTTATAAGATTTCTCCAGAATTCTATTGGCAAAAGCATATTTCATCCTTACCTTGGTTAGTGTGGGAAATGGGGTGGAGAGAAGCAAAAACCCCATTCCTCAGTTGTCTTGAGTTATTCTATTTTTGTTCCCTAAAAGATAATTTAGCTGTTGCCTTGAGTAAAACAAGCCTGTGGTATTTCTCCCAGCTTGCGTCTTGGGTAAGGCTGGTATGGATGATTAGAGTAGCTTTGTGGGACTGCAAGACCAGGGTACAAGGAGGGAGACCCAAGTCCTGAGCCCGGCCTGCACCTCAGCCAGCACCTCTGTCAGGCTGGGGCAGGTCTCCAGCCTTTCCAGCCTTAGCTACTGACCCATAGAATGGGGCACTGCCCTCTGAGCTTGCTCATACCCTTTCCCAGGGCCAGATAGGAGAACTGGGGAGCAGCTTACTCCACAGCACGAGTTAGCATGACAAATGCTGCTGATAACCACGTTCTGACCCTCCTAATGAAATGTTTTCTTTCTCAGTGATGTTACAGCCTTTCGATTATGACCCCAATGAGAAAAGTAAACACAAGTTTATGGTTCAGTCTATGTTTGCTCCACCTGACACTTCTGATATGGAGGCCGTAGTAAGTACCGAATGCTTCTTCTCCTTAGCAGCACCAGCAGACCACGCGGGAAGGGATTGTGGGTGCATGCCTTTCAGACGTGCTCAATTGCTTACGGGGAACTGTGCTTCCAGCGAGGTTTGCACTGGACTCCCTGAGTGGCTTTCCCAGCCTTGATGGCTAGTTTTAACATTTTATATGGCTGTTCTTTTCTGACTTGACGAATTGAACTTCAGTTCTCTGCTCTTGTGGACTTCACCTCCCTCCCTCACCTCCCCCGTCCCTCCCCTCCTCCCCCTCCCTCCCTCTCCTCCCCCTCCCCTCCTTCCCTCTGCCTTTCAGGTCCCAATTTTTTTCCTATCACCTTTCTCCTCTCCTATCCTCCCCCTCCAGCCCTCTCCCTCCTCTTCCCCCCTTCCCCTCCCTCCTCCCTCTCTCCCCTCCCTCCCCTCCTCCCTGCTTCCTCCCTCTCCTCGCCCCTACCCCCTCCCTTCCCCTTCTTGCACCAGTAGGGAAGAGCGCTTTCCAGTGCCTGACCCTCAGACCAGAGGTTGTGTGAGTGTTGAACACTAAGCACCTTTCCCTCCCTCACACTTCCTTGCACTTAGTACTAGTAAGCGTGGATTTGGGGGTATTCTTTGCTAAGAATCAGATTCCGGGCCTTGCTCATAGTGTGCAGGTGCTCTGCCTCTGAGCTACATCCCTAGCCTGATTTTTTTTTTTTTGTTTGTTTGTTTAAACCATAGAGTGCCTTCATTTTTGCCCCCTGCGTAAGTAAATGTTTGTGTTTCTGATTGTGGTAGAATTAAAATGACTTTGCTTATTATAAATAGGTACTATTATAGTGTTGATTTTTCTGGAAAAAGAGAGATTAAAAGGAAAATTCTCAAAGTTGGCTTTCAGGGAATCGACAAGAGTCTGGGTGCTGTGGGAGCTGAGGTGTGCAGGGCAGGTCTGGTCCTCACAGCCTGACCACTTCATCATCCTGTAATTTGCCAGCCCAGAGACGGCCAGGTCATCGGGGCTGTCTGCCAGTTCAAGTTAGCATTTACTAGACAGCTGTTTGCCCATTTCCAAGTTTTATCCTTGCTGCTGTGAGAGCAGCTTGTCTCCTGGCCAGTGTCACCAATCAGCCTTTTCTGTTGGCCTCAGTTAACCAGCTACCTTCACTGGTGCCTGCCTCGGGGCAGAAAAGAAGGTTAAGTCTGCTATTGAACTGGAGAGAGACCTTGTCTTAAGAGTGACCCTGGAGGCCTTTCTCTGCCCTTTGGTTTCAGGCCTCGTGTTTGTTGCTACACGTTAGTCTGTGTGATGAAGGGAGCCTGTGACGGCTACAGAAGGTGGAGTGTCCACAGTGTGGGTGGCCTGGCTCTTACCCCTTCACTAGTGGGGAGGGAAGGACTGGTCCATTTTGGTGTTGCAGCTGAGTTGTTGTCTACTAACACAGGTCTTGAGCAGGCATCAGTGACTGTCCTGAGATTTTGGTCACCTGTGTAGCAGGATAAAAATGAGCCACAGGATTGTGAAGGAAGTGTACCTCACAGACACTTCACACGAGTCTGTTAGAGGCCAGGTGCCGCATCTACAGCAAGGGCCTTCCACTTGTGACGGGAGCATCTCTGTAACTGTTGTGAGCAGTTGGAGCAGCACATTTTGTAGGCTTTTGGGTACGCCCAAGTGAAGCTGGGTCGGATGACACGTCTCTTGATTCTTCTACCAGACCTGACTGCCAGGAGAACCTGTGTTGCTCTTGTTTTGAGGTATTTTTCTTCCCATTGGACAGATAGAGAGCAGGAAGCAGAGTAGGCCTGGTCACTAAGGCCTTGATGTACCATTTGTGAGCAGTTTGCTTCCTGAGCCCTGTCACCCAGCTGCCTGCAGGATGGAGACTGATGACTTTGCCCTGAACCTAGAGCAAGGACAGTCCTCTCAGGACTGTCCCATGACCCCAGCCCTTTGGGTCTTCATGAATTTATGAGTCCAGGCCAGTTGACACGTAGGAATTCACATCATCTGATTATTTCCTCATGATTAAATTCAGATGCAGTTTTTTTTGGGGGGGGTCAAGAATGGCCTATCCTCATGTTATGTCACATCCTCACGTGATGTCATGTGGTGTGTGTCCTCCAGGCTCTTGGTGCTAGGTTAACACTCTGGTGGTGGTACTGTTTGATGGCGTGGTTCAGATGGTGCCGAAGCCTATATGCTCCATGGTTTGTAGGTGGTCTGGAATTCTTTGAGACCACATGAGTGCCCTGCTCACCAGCATTCTGTCACCAGCATTGTGCACCCAGTGATGGCCCTTGCCTAGTCCTCTCGGACACACATGCAGGCACATGTAAAAGCCCTGTGCAGAGGAGCACATGCATGTGGCATCTTTGCTGAGTGCTCTGGCACCCTGCAAGTGGTGCTGTGCTGCTCCATTGACTGCCCTCTCCATGGTTAGGGTGACGGCCCTCCTGGTGCCACACACCTGGTGCCACACACCTGGGCTGCTGCTTGTCCTGGGGTCTTGGAACTATACAGCCGTGGCTGCCCTGAGTGGTTGCACAGGTGAGGACCAGCCGGGCCTTGGTTTCTGAGTTGTCACCTGCTGCTCTGTTGCCTGTAGTTCTCAGAAACCCCTGGAGTCCCTTTCTGCACTGAAGGAGGCTTTAGTCAGGGGCACACCGCAGGACATGCTCTGTCAGGAAGGCCCTCAGCAGCAGGAGGAGGCAAGGCCATCCTGAGGTAGCCAGGCTGGTGGAATGGCTTGAAGGGATGTGCCCCACTGGTGGTGGGAGGGTGATGCTAAGCCTTCACTGTTGGGCTTTCTAGGAAGTCTGTGATGTAAATTCCATTTTCTTTTTTCTTTTTTTTTTAGACAGGGTCTCACTGTGTAGCCCTGGCTGGCCTGGAACTTGCTATGTTGACCAGGCTGGCCTCAAACTCACAGTGATCCACCTGCCTCTGCCTCCAGAGTGTTGGGATTAAAGGTGTGTGCCACCATGCCCAGAAAATTCCATTTTCTTGAGAAGAACCAGAGTCGCCTTTAGAGGGTGCGTGGGTGACTCATTCGGCTGGCTTCCTTGGGCCCATGTTGCCCATGGAACAGCAGCAAGAAAACTTGGGCAGCTCCGAGGAGCCAGGCCGCAGGATGACAGGGTTTTTGCAAGTGTGATAAATATTCAGGAAAGCTGGTGTGTTTAATCTTGTCATGTTAAAAATATTGAAATCTCAGCAGACTTAGGTTCCTTATTTGATATACATCAGGGCTTCTCATTAAGCATTTTTCTGAATTGTCAGTTATAGGAGGGAAACTATTCTTCCAGCAGCTTTGTAAGATCCTGATTATTAAATTTAAATTGTTTCAGTGGAAGGAGGCAAAACCGGAAGACCTTATGGACTCCAAACTTCGATGTGTGTTCGAATTGCCAGCAGAAAACGACAAACCAGTAAGTACGTCTCTAGCGAACAACAGTCGAATGCCGCGAGCTCCTGACTGTTTGCATGTCAACTCCTGCAGAACCAAGACTTAAGGCGGCAAATTATTCTCCTCTTTCTATTGTATGAAGAAAAAAAAAATAAGCTGAAGTCAACAAACAGGCAGGACTTTGTGAACTCAGCCTTGGAGAGGCCTTCCCTGGAGAAGTACAGCATGTTTTCTCCTGAGTTGACATAAACCCCAAAGAGCTTTGGCTCAGCAAAGCTGACAGTGGATGAGACCAGCACAGAATCATTGCCATTAGTTGTGGTGCTTGGACAGGTAGTAAACTCTCAGAGTATCCCTGTCAGCCCTCCCTCCTCAGCATCTGCTCCCTGCTCCCCTTTTCCAACCCACCCCTAACATCCAGGTCTGGTTTTAGGTGAGAATCTCTGCCTCAGTGCTGCTGACATTTTGCACTGGATCATTCTTTTTGGAGGGGTGCCATCCTGCGTACCGTGGGGTGTTGAGCATCCCAGGCCCTACCCCTGTAGACACCAACAGTATCCCACTCTGTGCTGCCCTGTTGTCCTGTGGACCCCCCAGCTCCCCTATGCTGAACTCACCCCGGCCCTCTCTGTGACTAGTGGAAGACAGGAGACAGCACCTCAGATGCTCGTGAAACCTCCCCTCATCCTGGTCAGAAAAGTTAAAAAATTGAAGACCCAAAGAAAAAACTCAGACACAGTCTGGTAGTGGCTGGAGTTGGGGAGTGGAAGTGCTCTGCAGGATTTTCTTCACACAGTCTGTAATAGTCTTTGAGGATGCTGTTGGTTTAGGGGTCAGAACCGTGTAGTATCTTCTTTTGCTACACTCTGACCATCCTGGCTTTTTGGATGGAAGGAACTGGATCCTTTTATACAGAAGTTCACTTAGAAGTGGGCAGACCTGGATTCCTACCCCTGACTCCAGAGTAGGTGGGCTCTGGCTGGGCTGCCTTGTAACGCCTGCTCCCTGAAGTACTTTGGGAAGGGAGGCCAGATGCCGGCTCTTCAGGTTGCTGCCCAGGAGCCTGGCTGTCATCTTGAGTGTCTCCAAGTCCTGCAACCCTGACCAGCTCATCCCCAGGAGGGTGGCCTGGCCCCAGTCTGTGCAGGGAAACAGGAGCATGTGGCCTCCTCAGAGAGGCACTGGTGACTCACGGTGTGTCCCCCTCATCCCGGCTTCTAGAAGAAGTTAGTGAGCCAGCCTCCTGTGTCCAGCGGTCTACGTGCCCCTCCATCCCACCCGCTGGAACGCTCAGCTCTCCACACAGACAGTAATTTGCAGCTGATAATTCCTGAGCTTGCACAATTACAGTATGCTAATTTTTGCATGGCAGGAATTTGATAGTGCAGTGTGCACAGCCCTTTTCTCTTTCTTTGAAGTATTAGCATAAGTCCAACTTCATTATTTGCCCTTATTCATAATTTCTAGGGCCCAGTAGCTTTAAATTATCAAGATATTAGATAAAGTGATCCATTTAAAAAACAAATGTGACATTCTACAGTGTGGATGAAATGCTACCTTGTGTGTTGTGTGCTGAGAACTACTTTGCATAAAATCCTTTCTTATATAGTTGTGACACTTGTGCTTTTGTTCCTGAACAGCATGATATCGAAATAAATAAAACGATACCCACGAGTGCATCCAAGACAGAAACGGCAGTAGTGACGGCCAAGTCCCTGACTTCGTCCCTGGATGATGCCGAGGTGAAGAGGGTGATGGACGAGTACAAGCGGCTGCAGGAGGAGGTGCAGAGGCTGAGGGAGGAGAGCAGGCAGCTCAAGGTAGTCCCATAGGCACGTCGGAAGCATGGCGGGAACTGGGAAGCCCTGAACCCCTAGGATTCCGTCTGCTCTTTGCATTTGCTTCTGTTTTCCTCCACAGGGAGGCGTCTCCAAAGCTTGCCCTGGGTTCTCGGAAGTGTCCTCCCGCTTTGCCTCCTTAAGTTAATAGCCTGTTCATTGGGCAGAAGCTTCTCAGCTACTCAAACTCTTGTTCAACAACTTAAACTGCCACCTCCATGGTGTGACTTGGAATCAGCAGTGGCTGTTTTGAATCTGCATTTTCGAACCCTGCTGTATCCCATCCCCTTGGATGATCTCTGTCTGTATTGTTTGAACGTGGATGAGTGAGTGTTGGCGAGTCTCAGGAGGTCTGGGCAGTAGAGGCTGCCCAGGGGGCTCGAGCACGTGAAGTGGAAGCACAGTGCTACCTTGGGAAAGACAGGCGGGGGTGCGGAAAAGCCGAGGCTGCAGCCAGGGCACTGGGCCGTGCGTGGGTGTGTTGTGCTGCACTGGGGATGCTTCTCCGCCTGGCAGCGTGGTGTTGCACGTGTGGTTCATGTGAGCTCTTGGTTGCTCCAACCCCAGCATCTCAGGTTTGCCTGCATGTGTATGAATGCACCATAACCTGGAGTTATAGACAGTTGTTGGCTCCCATGTGGGTGCTGGGACCTGAACCCAGGTCCTCTGCAAGAGCAGTCATTGCCCTTACCACTGAGCCATCTCTTCAACACCCCGGATTTTGAGGCTTATTTGTTCTTAATTTTAACAGCACCACCGGGGTGCGCACTGGCTTCCTCATGCCCCTGTGGTGGCAGCAGGTGTATGTGACCCACCCTCACCCTGACTTCTCCACATTCCAGCACTGAGGCACACATGGGGATGGCAGTTTGGAAGTGGCCTTCCTTTGCAAAAGCTCTTTGAGTGTGTTTCTCTTTGGAAGTAGAGTTCTGCACCATTTAAAGTGATATGTAGGTAGGGATAGCTTCTATATAAACCCAATGAAATAAATGCTCCATTTTGCTCGGCCCATTTTTTTGAGGTTAATCGAACGCCACTGCTCATACTTCACTGTGCTGTGGTGCTGGTCTTGTTCCATGAGCTGAATGCTCTAAAACAATATTAGTGCCATCTTGACATGGGGAGATTCTTTATCCTGGCAGACTCTGATTTCTTGTTTTGTGAGATACGCTGTGTGCCTGGTGCTGTGGGCTCAGCTGTGAGCTGGCTGCCCTGGGGAACCCCCATTAGTGGGGCCAAGGGAGAAATGGAGACAACCAGTGCTCACAGCCAAGTGCTTGGCGGTCCTGTGGAGAGCTGCAGACTGTGGGGAGGCTCCATTTGGCGCTTGGAAGATAGGAAAGAAAAAGAGGAAGGACAGCAGATGTCAGTGTAGGGGACCTGAGGAGGGATCCGACCGGAGAGAGCCATCCCTGGCCCAGTGTGGGATGGGGCTGTGGGAAGGAACCTGCAGATCCTCCAGGCAGGTGCAGTGGAGGCCAAGGAAGAAAGAAACTTCTGTTCCTTACCCACCAAGTGGTAGAGGATGTGCTCCAGGGTCTGTATGTGTGAGGAAGGCATGGACTCGTGAAGGTCCGGGATGCTTAGAGTTCCAAATAGTATTTGATCAGCAGTCTACCCAGATCTAACACACCGAGTACCAACTCTGTAGGGTTCTGCAGGGCCCCACTGGGCAGGCTGTTGAATTTGTACCTTGGGACGCACTTGGGGTTTCAAGTCAGTGAAGACTTGACTCGGCAAGCTTATGCATTCGAAGCGGGAAGGACAGAAGTTAGGCCTGGAGGCAGGAGGAGAGGGAGAGCCAAGACACAGCCAGAAAGGTGGGGGTGGGGGCAGAAGGTGGGAAGGGCAGCTGGTTGCTACGCTGCTGAAGAGTTTTACCTACAAACCACGGGGTTGAGTTGAGGAGGCTCTGCTCAAATGGGGGTGACAGACAGGCGACCGCCAGGCAGTGCCTTCCCCGTCAGCCTCTGTGCCTTTTGCATTGTGGCTGGGACTGGCTTTGAAATGTGCATTTGTTCCCCCAGGAAGAAGATGGGCTTCGGATGAGGAAGGCACTGCAGAGCAACAGCCCCATGGCCACACTGGCTGCCACCGGGAAGGAGGAAGGCCTCAGCACCCGGCTGCTGGCTCTGGTGGTTTTGTTCTTTATTGTGGGTGTCATTATAGGGAAGATTGCCTTGTAGAGGCCGCATGCAGAGGATGGCAAATTGGATTGATGGATCCACCACATCATGAGATTTAAATTTATCATAATCATGCGTAAAAAGAAATTAATGTATGATGACATCTCACAGGTCTTGCCTTTAAATACCCCTCCCCACGCACACACACACAAATGCACACACAAATATAGCATAATATAACAATCTTTTAGGAAGTTAAAAATGTATAATAAATGGATGGGGGAAGAATGATCTGCTAATGACAAGAGACACCATACTTAATGCCGCAGTGGCATATTGTAGCTGTCACGTTAATCATGGGTAGACCTTGGCACGTGCTGCTGGATCACCATCTTAAAGCAAGACTCTCTTCCTCACCTGCTGGGGCTGGCCCGTGGGAGCAGGAGCCCAGTGCGGTGAGGCGGGCTGTCCACTCCACATTCACCCCATGCTGCCTGCTCCCACCTAGGCGGCTCCCCCAGGTCTGCAGTTCTGTGTAAGCCATCGGTTCCTCAGGATCACAGAGCTGCAGAATCCAAAAAGCATAGCACGGTGGCCACATCTCATGTGTCGTTGGTCGTGATTAAGAGGCACGTGTGGACTGACCCAACCAACCCTCGGCAATCAAAGTCTGTGCTTTGTTCTCTTAAAGGGACCAAGCTAAATTACTGTTGGTTCATGTAGTGAAACTGAGCTGTTACCAGAGACGTGCGCTGCGTATTTAACTTATTTAATGTATCTCATCTCGTGTTCTCATTGTCAAGAGTAGTCAGAGCTGCGGAGCTGGAAGTCACCTGTGCTGCAGAGCCCCAGTGGCGGGCTGGCACTACTGTGGACACTGGGGCTCTCTGCAGGCTCTGGGTACGGGGAGGGTCTGTCCAAGTGTTGGGGGATAGTGTCCAGGAAGCATTTTCTGTATTGATCAGTAGGAGCTGTCCTGGGGTGGGACATTCTTTGCAGTGACAGTCGGCTCTGGGCTACCCAGCCTTCTAGATTGCTCTTTCACTCTCAGCCATCCTCATCCTTCCAGCACACAGGCCAGGTCTGACCTGTTGTCCTCAGGACGAATGAGTTGGGCTGCCCGAGTGAGGGGCACGGAGGTGGGTGGGGAGTGGGTGGGCTCCTTAGCAAATCCATCTGCTGGCAAGGAGAGTCTTGACTGTGAATTAATTTCATGCCGTAAAAGACCAATCCAATTCTGTTCAACTATGTAGCATCTTAAAAAGAAGAAATTAAAATAAAGCCCCAAAATTACAAGTTCTTTTGTCATTTTGTCACATTTGCTGTGTGTGGGGTTATTACTATTAATCATCGTTAGCGTGCCACGGAAGGTTGATTTTAAAATGAGCTCTGTCAGTGAGGAATGCATGTTTAATGATTTGACTCTACACACACATCTGTGTGTACATATATATTACTATTATATTTTCTTTGGTTGGCTTCAGCTGACAGTGTGGAAATAAAACTTCTGGCATCTCAGGCCTGACACCCTCATCCTTCCATGATCTTGATCTTCAGTGACTGGTGCTGGGCATGTCTAGTATGAGCCTGGGTCTGACAGACAAGTCCACCTAAAAGAACACAGTCCTCAGTCCTCAGACACCCCAAGCCACCCTGCTGCCGCACCTCCTGACCAGCTGGAGTCTGGTGAAATGGAAGTCTGGTGGTTTGAGTAAGTAGCTTCCCTTCCCTCAGAATCCCAGGTGTTCACAGGCATGCTGAGCGGCCCTGGTTCCCACTGAGCACCTGCTGCTCAGGGTGCATTGAGCTTGAGGATGGGGACGGCCATCCCCTATAAATGAGTCTCCAGGATGCATTCCACATGGCCTGGTACCTAAGAAAGGGAGGGTCGATAACTGAGAGGCCTGACCTGCCACCTGGTTTTCCACGGTGGACTAAAATTTGACAGTGGGAGGTGCCAACTAATGTCAACTTCTGGTCCTTGCAGGCTTTGAGTACTGATTTAGAGGGCCTCAATCAGGACCTGGGGTGCAGTCTGGCTCATGACACCAGAGCAGGGGGTCTGCAGGCTGTTGTTAAGGATAGAGTTGTGTATTCTGAGAAGTGCTCTTCACAGGAGCGGCCAGCCGCTGAGGCTGCTGTGCTGTGGGGTCAGGGAAGGGAATGGTCCTGTATCTAGGAGAAGGTACTCAGCTCCTCGTACATTGCAAACAGTTTTGCTGCAACAACAAAAATCTCAAGGTGCAACTTCCATGGCCCTCAGAAGTCTTTTCCTCTTGTAGAAATCAGGACTGGCTGAGCTTGTTAGCTGGTGGAACTTCAGGAAGGGAAGTGAGGCAGGCCTGGGTTATTCTCCAAGTCATCCTGGTCAATAAAGCGTGTACCAACAGAGACAGGATTTTAGAAGAGGCATTGCTCACCTTTGGGACTCTTTGAAGAGCCACAAAATCTCAAGAGAACTGGGAGGGGTGTGCACATTTGGGGCATCTTTTCTGAAGTGATGAGAGAAGAAACAAGAGTCGGACAAAGAGGTGAGTGTGGCACTGTCTCAGTGGACTGCCATGACCAGAGAGAAGGGAGTCGTCAGAAGATCTGGTTAGGGCAGCTGAGACTTGGGAGGATGGTGGTCAGGAGGCAGCCTGGGTGAGAGCCCTTGGTTACCAGTACGCTGGTCCTGGTTTAGAGATGTTAGCCGCAGTGCTCACAGATGGAAGCAGTAGCTGAGCCCCATCACAACCGTTGTTGATTGAATTTTTAAGTTGATAATTTAAGCTTGGAACGATACAGAGTACCTTTCGAAGACAGCAGACTCCGTTATCTGTCGGTGTGAGGACCTTGCTTTAATTTTTTTCCCTCCTAGTTTGCATGTTTTCCTCTCTGGTCTTTTAAACTGCTAGCACCAGCAGTCATAAATACTGATAAAATCAAAATTGATTTTTACCAGTGGACAGTTTATGCCTAGAGAGACGGCTTATACCTACATAACACTGGGGGGAAATGAGGAACCGCCAGTGAGCCGTGAAAACCCAAAGGCTTCCAAACAAATCCTAGGAGCAGAATTGCTACGGGAAGATGTCAGTGCCCAGCCTGTGGGCTGTGTGGAGTCAGACAGAACACAGCGAGAGCTCAGCACAAAATAGCCCTTCAGATGAATTTGAAAACAAGCTCTGTATGTGCACGTGTGTGCGTGTATATGTGTAGTGTGTGCCGTGTGTGAGTAGCTTGGTAGTTTCCAATGCTGTTTGTATTTTTTTGCACACAAATCTTGGTGTTTTCAAACTCAGGATTCATGCCAAAACACAGTGCCGTTTGTCATTTTTTAGCTCCTCGAAATAACTGGCCCAAGTACAAATTTCTGGTTATGGTTTGCAAAATTTTTAGTTAGAGAGGAGGAGAGAGAGGGAGAAGAGAGGAGGGAGAGGGCTGTGACTTAGGTCACCCTGTACGCCCAAGTGACATTTCACCCCACACCTGCATGGAGGCCAGCTCCCCTGCTATCAAGGTGGCCGTGTCTCCTGCCAGGCCGTCTGGTGTGAAGGAGGGGAGCTGAGTCTAACTTTACAGTTAAAGGCACCTCTCAGAAGAGACTCCTCTTAATTACACTTGGCTGTGTTTGCTGTTGCCGAGAATGAATGCTTTCAAAGCCAAGCAGAAATGCAATTGTGTTTAGAAGTCCCCTGCAGAGTGTAGATGGATGGGTGCCGTTTGTTGTGCACCGTCTATGCCGAGGCCAGCCATCACTCTCTGGAAACACAAAGGGCAGCACTGAGATCATGGCCACTGGCTCCCTCTGGTTCCCTGGACTGATTGGATTTGGAAAAGGCTTTTTCCTCCCCAGACAGGGCTGCTGTGATGGGAATCTTTGTCATCGCCACCCTGGCAGTGCCGAGCACCTCCATGCATCTGATATACACTGAACTCTCCTTTGCCGCAGCTCTGACCCCAGGGGAGAACAAAGGCTCCAGCAGGTTAAGCTGGACAAGATTTGGTTTAGAGCTACGCTGGTCTCTGCCCATGTGTGCATGTTAAGCAGCTCTGGAAATCATGGGAGGTGGAACCAGGGGAGGAACTTGCTGCCCAGCGGGTGACGCGGCCTGGCGGGTGACATGGCCCAGCAGCAGGGTCTTGTCTGCCCCCATCCTGACCCACCATGGAGTGTTTCTTTCTCCTGGCTGTGCAGGGAGAGTCAGGGCTCTTGTTTGGCCTTTTCTTTCCTGCTGGGGACCAAATACACTCCAGACGGTGAAGACATTTGCTGTTTGCATTTTTCTTGCTGCCTCGTGTGCTGGGAGAGTGGACTGAGGTGCTTTAGAAAGAGAATTACCAGTGTGTACTGTCTGCGAGGTGAGGGTGCTTTATCTGGAGGCCCCTCGTGACTTAAATACGAATGTGAGCAGTTCATTAAATGTGGCGTTGCAGTAGTGGCCTACAAGGTTTGGAAATGGGCAAGCTCACGGTACCTGGCCTCTCTGAACTTGGAGAGAAACATGGTGAAGGAGGGAGCACAGATAGCTGTCCACCAGGCCACCTCGACTGCCAGGCCCGCAGCCTCCTGCCACACACTTGATGGTCCCTGCATGCTCAGCACACAAGGCTCAGCCACTGAGAACATTAGCTGGGGTGCACGAGGTGGCCCCACCCCTGTGTGAGGGACTCATATCCATCTCCACGGCACTTTATATTAGTTTCACTTTGGTTCATTTCTTATTTCCACTGCAGTGGGATTTTAAACCATTTCAAAGGCTCAGGCATACATGAACAGCTGCGTATTACAGTTAAAAGCAAACCCGGTGGAGGTGGAGGAAAGGTGGTCTTGATGAATGTAATTACCTTAGTTTTTTTTTTCTTAATGGAATTAATTCATTAGAAAATGTCTGCTTCCAGTCTGTAGAAGAGGAAGGAAAAGCTAGCAGCAAAAATACAGCTATTATCCAACTTGCCATAAATATTTGCAATTATGATGCCTTGGAATGTTGCCACAATGTGGATCACGCTGATGAAAGGGTGTCAGTGGAAGGAACGGTGGGTGCTTCAGGACCGTCGAGCTGCTGCGGGGTAAATACTGATGTTTGTTTTTGAACCAGCAAACGCTGATCCGGTAACAGTGCCCCGTTACAGTTGCTGTATCGCACCGCAGGGCTGATGCAGGCTTAATCATCTCGCTAATGGATGTGGGTGCAGGACGGATGCTCTGCCCTGCTTTCCCTCTTGCATCCTGATTGTCGCAGGAGCTGGCCAGCCAGACCGCTGCAGGTAGATCTGCAGCCTAGGCTTCGTCTCCCTGACACTCAAAAGCCGCATCTGGCCGAAATGGAGGAGATTACCTGTTACTTTCTGTTTCCCTTCAGAGAACACCAACTAAGGGAGACAAATCAGATCTTTTAAACACAATCTCATTAAGGCTTAGTGCTAACAAGGAGGCAGAGTGTACATGACTTACGAAGATGATGAATTAGCATGCACGCTCCACACATCAACTTGCCCACTTTCCTTGTCACACAAACAGGCCTTGCTCTTTTTATGGACGCAGTGCATTCCTATCTTTCTGCTTTTTAGAAGTAAACTAAATCCAGCTGTTAACCCTCTAGTGCAGCATGTATTAAAAAGCCTTTTTCCCATCGACTCTCTTACATGGATTCAAAGGTCAGGATTTATTGTCTGTGATACTGAGCCCGTGTGCACAGAATTGCCTTCTGGTGTTCATGATCCGCGTAGCAGACACGTCTCACTTGCTCTTTCTTTTACCGGGTGAGGGTATTGAGAAACGAATCGGCAGGTCATTGGGTTCTGTTTCATTGGTGAGCAGCCTCTGTGGTGATCTGTGCTCTTACACGGACAGAAAAATGCAGAACGCAGCGGCCCTCATTTCTGAGGCTGGCTTTCTTTCTCTATTTTTTAAAAATACAATTTATAGACTGCTGCCATTCGAAACTTCCTGTAACAAACACAATATAATGAAATGTGCCCTTCACCACCTCTTTCCTTTCTGAGTAGAGAAACAGTCTTGATGTATGCCGGGCCCATCTGGTTCACATCCTTTCTTGTCTGAAAGACCTCTGCAGTCTGATTGTGTGTGTGTGGATTCTGACCTCCGTGTACATCAACACTTTAGGGATTTAGTATTTCAAGAGCTGTCTTAGAATGCTTTTGTTTTCATAATTTCTCCTCTATGTATTTAAGTTGTATTTCCTGTTCTGACATGGAACTCATTTATAGAGTCGGTGCAGGAAGGCAGCTCTTCATCATCCTGCATTTTGGTTATCTGATGTGTGATAAATCCATGGTTTTATGGCCAACTT